TTAGGCTTTATGCAATTTTCATAATTCCTGCTATGATGGACTATGATGGAATCATAAAAAGTGAAGATGCAAAAACATAGGAAAATAAACAGTTGGACCCCAAACATGAATATATGACCAGGTCAAATAGAATGATACGGATTAGGGGTCATTGGACTTCTCAGGAGAAACATTCCTCTGGAAAATACCATGTTTTTTGTCTGAAAAATTGTAATTTCATTCCATTCTGTTCTAAAGTATACATTATTTATTGACAGAATGTAAAACTTTGTCAGTTGGAAAAATAGATGCATTTAGAAAATTTGGCATTGTAGTACCTGTTGAAGTATCATAAAACACTTCATCAGTCATTCAGCACACCCCTAAGACTCTTGGATTGGTTATGTAACTTTGGTAAACTCCCTCTTCAGGGACCAGAAATATTGGCTGTATCTGCAGCTCAGCAGCTCTAGTCTCCATCAAAACTATGCAGGAATGACAAGAATCACTCATGAGAGGCAGTGAAATTGATACACCACTTCACACTACTCTGCAAAAGAATTACTCTGCACACGGCCCAAAGACCAGGGAAACTTTGCTAAGCACTTTTCACTTTTTTAATTTATAATTTCTTTATTCACAAAGTACAGGTGAGGTGCTTCCATACTGTAAACACATACTGTTCATCCAAAGAAATATTAGATATGTTAGTAACAGGCCTATTCAGGTCTTTAGAATAAATGCTGCCCATTGCCATAGTGTGTATCGAAGGTCAGAATCAAATATCAGGTTCTTGACATAAATAAGAGCAATTAGCACCCATAAGGTCCTCATTTTTGGATTTATAAACATTTTTAACAGAGAAGAAAGGAAAGGGATGCACTTTATACTTTTAATTCAGTTTATTTTGCTGTTGTTATTGTCATTTCATAATGTTCTTTTCCTTTACATATTTTTTGCAGTGTTTTTCTTTTCGTTCAGTAAAACAATATTTTAAAGTCATTAAGCTGAATCTCTAAATTAGAAACTAAAAAAACATGTTGCCTCTTTGAAGAAATGTACCATATTTTAAACTCTGTTACGTTACTGTCTGGACGTAGCAGTGAGTGTCACAGATGATTATCCATCTTTCCATTATTTATTTTGCTGAGAATTCATTTTGAAAACACCCCCTGGTATTTTTTGGCAGTGGCCATCTTGAGTAAGGGCAGATTATTCATGAAGCATTTACTTCCTGGAATCCATCTGCTCTTAGCTCACCATTAGCTTAGCTGAGAACCCTCCCTCTCCTCCTGAAGACTCCTGTGATATATTACATAATTTGCCTAGACATAGAAACCAGGAAGTAACTGAAGGAATGTAAAAAAAATATTTTAAAACAAGTAAATATAATATACTTTGCTATCTATTTACTAACTCTAGCAGCATAGGGATAAAAAATAGTCCATGTTGATTGAAAGACTGATGCTCTGCTTTAAAGTGATGGAGGAAACCCCTGAGAGGGTAACTTTTTGCTTTTCGTTGGAACTTTTAAAATGCAAATATCTACCTTCTCTGTTTGGCAAAAGTGCTATGCATGTAAGCATCTTTTACATGGAAGACATTTTTTTATGAACATTAAATGTGCAGGCAAATGTGGGCAGCAAAGGTTCTTACTATATTGGTTCCCTCAGTGAATGTCTTTAATGAGCACACATTATAATATTTAAATGTCAAAAATTAAAATATTTTATAACTTGAGCCAAAATCTAACATTAAAAAAAAAAGAATATGTATACATGTATAAACACAGACCTGCACATATACGTATATTGCAAAGGATAGTGATATTATGGTGATATGTGCAGGCCTTTGATGATTGACAGTCGTGGAAAAAAAAACATGATGAGCAGATGACGTAACCGTTTAACTGCATCCCACCCTTACCACTGCCACAAGGACCCTATTATTCAGACATACTAACATGCTATGTATGGTGGAAAGAACTGCACTATTGTATTATGCAAACATAAGATTATATATTGAATAATTCTGGAACTTGTCAGTCATATTGCCAAGAAAATTACTAACCATTTTCCAGCCAAAGTTCCAGTCAGGATCCCTACATTAAATACCAAAAGTTATTTGGGGCCAAAGTGAAAACACCCACTAGTGTAGGAATAGATGTTCGGACTGACTGTCATTTTTTTCAACTTGACCTTTTAGCAGCTGCAAGGATTCATCACTGGTTAGAAAACATAAAACTAAACTGTTAATATTTCTTTTCACATCAGGTTGCCTGCAGTGGGTTAATTGTACAGTTGTGGTGCCTGAGTTATTTTGTAGATTACTTTTACATCCCTCCCAACTTTAGAACTTGAGAAAGAGTGACAGTTCAGGGAGATAAGGACCTGCAGCCTACACTGCGGCAAAACTTCAATGTGGTTAAATTACGCTAAATATTGTGCATGACTTAACAGAGCCTGAACCTACTCACATATACACCACAAACAAATTCAACAGTCTAGCTCATTCTCAACGAAAGTGGAAGGAATAATGCCTCCTTCAGCATCTGTGCAAAGCATAGGGGTAAGAAGAAAGTAATACACAGAGAGAAGGGGTCAGGAGTATGTAACATACAAATCCCAGGGGTCAGGGGCGCATAACACACAGAGCGAAGGAGTCAGGGTTACCTAACTCACAAAGTGCAGGGGTCAGGGGTATGTAACACACAGAACACAGAGGTCAGGAGGGTAGAACGCACAGAATGCTGGTGTCGGGGATATGTAATGCACAGAGTTTGGGTTCAAGGGCATATAATGCACAATTAGTAGAGAGAGTAATTACCACTTTCCCCCCCGGCCAATATCTCCCCCCTAGTACAGATCTCTCCTTCAATTGTACCCACTCACCAAACCAGGCAATTCAGAGTGAGGGGAAGTTGTCCCTCAGCTGGGTATTGTAACCATAGCAAAGGAGAAGCTAAGGATAGCTTTCCTGTCACTTAACTGTCACTGCCCATGTCTGAGGCCTGACAACTGGAAGAGCAAGTACTTCAGGTGTCTGGCGACTATCAGCATTAGCTTTTGCATCACCAATGCTCTGGGAAGGGAGGGGGGTTGGTCTTTATGGCCCTTATCTACATCCCTGGATGTCTATAATATGTACAACCATGATGTGCATGTCTCAGAGCCACGCCTGACATAAACACAATGAGAAAACCTTTGGCAGCTATTTATGTAGACATTGCTTTTAATATGCTCCACACCTTGCTGACAGTCTTGCTCACACAGCTATGAGGACTACCTCTTATGTCATCATCAATGGTCACTAGAACCCCCAAGGGAGAAGCAGCAAGATGTAAGGCACTTCCAGGTGTTGGTAAATGGCTGCCTCCAGTGCTGAATGTGAGCCCTAATATAAACAAGCTCAAAATCCACCTACAGCCAGTTTACAAGCATACATATCAGGTTAATCAGTATCTAGCCTTGAGCATTCTAATCTGAGTATCTCCTTTCAAGTAAAGACCCCATTGCTACCCTGTGATAGGATTGGAAGATGGATTTGTTATATTTCTGATACCTAATTATAAACTGTATCGACAAGAAATTTCAATTCACCACCCACACCCAAAAAAAAAAAAAAGTTTCCTCCTGTGATGTTTCATTGGACTTTTTGACTTTAGAAAAGGTTCAGCACTATTTTAGATACTTTGAGAACTTTGCTGTATCCCACAGTGCCTCCTAGAGTTGCCCTTTAAATAGGATTCAATTTCAGTTTCGCTAGTAGGTTGAAGTACTGAGCAGAATTTGCATCCTGATATCCTACCTTCATCTTACCACATGCGGGAGACACTCCAAGGGCTCATGTTAACACATTGTTCTGGTTCAATCATTTTTATTCACTTTTAACAGAGCAACAAAGGAAAGCACCAGGTCAGCAAACTCAGATGCTAGAACTGACAACATTAACAATGCAAGACAAATATGGTGCCAACAAATAAAGGGGACATTAAAGCATCACAATAGATAGATATTGTAGATATGGCAGAGGGTAAAAGAAGTCCATCGGAAAGTCCCTGTATCAAATGGTCATTAACCTGGACATACTAACGTCAATATATCAGTGCAATATGCTTTAGGCTCCATGTACACAGGACTTCTGAACGATGGAAACTGACTGCTGGAAAACGTAGGTTAAAAAACGTCTGTTAGCCACGTTTGCATACCGCGTTTATGCGTGTTTATGAGCGCTTGCATTTAGAAACATTTTTTAAAGATAACCCCAGGAGACCTTCCAAAATGCCCAGAATGCAGTGAAAAACAGTAACAAATTTACTATTTCAGACATTTTGCGAGAAATAGAGAGAGCAGAAGCAGAGAGAGCAGTATGTGTTAAGATTACATGTCTTTTCTGGTTGTATTCACTATGGATCCCATCATGAGCATAATGCGGCGCATTCTACCATTTTTTCTTCACGGAAAACCTGGAACTGACTGTGCTGGTGTACTGGGTCAATTTGAATACATGGAAAACACTTTCCATGCATTTCTGATGATGAAAAAAGGCATTTGGATATGGGGCAGTTAAAAAACGCTTCTAAACGCAAACGCTTCTAAACGCAGTTAGCCGAGTTTACAAGCATTTGTCATTTAAAACGCTGATAAAATCTACACCTGAACACAAGTTTGGTGCATTAAAAAAAAAAAAAAAAAACGACTCTAAACTCAACTGCCTGTAAACGACATAGTGTACATGGGCACATAGGAAAACATTAGGGAGAGTTCAGGGGCTGATAAAAAAAAATGCAGAAAAACTCCTGAAAGTGAGTTTATCAGCTGCAGTGTACATGAACCCTTATACCCACATGTATAAGGAGAAGAAAAGAAGGAAATGAGTCAACCCCTAGGAGGGGGAAGCCAAGCTCCACCAAATGAAAAAAAACTGGGAGAGAAGAAATAAGGAAAGGAAGGGCAGAATCAGGAGGGAAAAATGGACAAGGGCTCAGAAGCATCAGGAGTGGCAGACAGAGGAGTTAACACATTTTTAACCTCCCTGGCGTATTCCCGAGTGTAGCTCGGAGTAAAGTTTCAGTACCACAAGCGGTAACCCCGAGCAACACACGGGATTACTATGAGGCGCTGCTCCACGATCCCTCACCTTGTCCTGCGCTCCCGCGATGTCCCTCCTGCAGCGTCCCCGGCAATGTAATCTGGCGGATGCCGGCATCTGTCATCTGGGTTCCGTCCCCTTTGAGCATTGGGACGTACAGGGGGATGGAATGGCGGGAAATTAAAAAATGACAAAAAGTGACATTCACTAAAATCACATAGTATAACATTACTGTATCAAACCATTTCACATACATTTTGTCCCGAGTGCTTTGTCCTGTGCCCTGCCTGCATTTTTACTGTTCTTTCTGCCTGGAAACTGAGAAACGTCCATGGCATCCAAAAAGCATCCCTTTAGGTCAAAAGCGGTTTTAGACCACCTAGAGAACAGCGAAAGTAAATCAGAGCCACTTGAAGAATTGAGTGATAATGATTCGTGGGGAAATTCGTGGGGAAATTCGTCATCAGACACTGAAAACGATTTTGCGACTTTGCTCAGTGATGTGCGAACTTGGCGCTATATTTCAAATTTCAGTGTTTTTGGTTTGGTTTGATTATATTATTGAATTAAATGTATTATTATTATATTATTATTTTTATTATTATTTATTAAATTATAATTTATGATTTTGTGTTTCAAATTTTATGTTTACTAGACTCTTGTTCGGACAGATATCAGTGAGTTAATCTTAAAAATTACAGGCCTACAATAAAAAAAAAAACATATTTCCATGCAAAAAAATGGTACCACTCCAACGCTTTCAGCACTAAAAATCTGAAATAATCGTACCGCCAGAGAGGTTAAAAAGCCATCTGAATCTTGCCTGCATCAAGCTGCACTAGGATGTTTTGCTGAATACAATGTAAAGTATATATATTATAGGCGATTTGCTCTTCCCCCGAGAAGGCAGCCAATGACACGTGTACATAGAGGGATCAGTGCTTGGTAGGGTTCAAAAAACCCTATCAGTAGCAGAAGGGGTGCTCTGGCTTCTCTTAGTACAGCCCAATCCAGTAGCAGAAGCGGTGCTCTGGCTTCTCTTAGTACAGCCCAATCCAGACCTCTTAAAAGGCTGTCTACATAAAGATCAGAAAATACCTTCTCTACCACTGATGACAGCAAATTTAATTTGCCACAGAAACGCACCTCTCTAAGGACATATTTTGTTTATTGACTGCAAATAACTTAGAACCTGTTGCAAAAAAATCCACTCGGGGGGGGGGGGAAATGCTATGAGAAAACACCTGTGCTCCAGTCCTGCATCTATAACACACAATTTCACACGTTAAAGTCATTACATAAAACTTAAAGGCCCGGAGATATATCTGAGAAAAGTGCTCAGGAAGTTGATGGACTTTAAAAAAGGCTGTTTGATTCTCGCAGGGGATTTTAATTTTTGTATGGATCCACAAAAAGATGATACCTCCCATGCACAGAGAGAAGGAAGTAGGGCTCTGAAACTCTTGAAGAAAGAACTACATATAAGCCAATTAGTAGAACGCCTGGAGAATTACACACATGCAAGATAGAGATTATACCTTTTTTTCAAACATGCATAAGAGGTATTCAAGATTAGACCACATATTAATAGAACATCAATTAATCGACCACCTAGTTCAAATTGAAATAGAGACAATCTCTTTATCGGATCATGCCCCAGTTAGAATGAAACTGGAATGGGGGGGGGGGGAAAACAAGAGGGCTGGGATGGAAACTTAATGAGACACTATTAGTAGAAAACGAAATAGCCCAGAAAATAGGGGAAGAGATTGAACGGTATTTCCAGGAAAATGAGACAGGTGATGTGTCCATAGCTACAGTGTGGGAATCTCATAAGGCATACATAAGAGGAATATTGATAGCGATTGGGGCAAGAAAGAAAAAAAGAAAGAAGAGAGAAAATGAGCAGACTCTTAGAAGAAATAAGTAAGCTAGAACAACAACACAAGAATAGAATAATAAAAGAAATAGAGTTGAAGTTAAAAAAAAAGAAAGAAGAATTGGAAGGTGTAATAGAAGAGGAGAGGAGAGAAAAGCATATAATAGGGTTTTGAGTGAGAGATATAGATGGGGAGAAAGATCGGGAAAATACTTGATGAGGGCCCTAAGGAAAAAGAAAAATAGAAATTATATAGAAAAAAATAAAAGACGTTAAGGGGAACCTGAAACACTCAAATAGAGAAATCACCAAAGTTTTTATGGAATATTATAGAGATCTGTATAATATAAATCCCCTGCGGGAATCTGAAAATATAGAAAGTGAGAAGAACCATAAGAGAAAGAAATATATAGAGAAGGCTGGGTTACTAAAATTAAGCGAAGTCCAAATGAACTCCCTGGATGCAGATATCTCACAAGAGGAAATAAAATTAGCTCTGAAGGGTACAGTGTCTGGGAAAAGTCCAGGTCCAGATGGTTATACTGTGAGATATTATAAAAAATATAGTGAAATCTTAGTACCAAAACTTAGAAAATATATGAATGCATTAGGTGGAGAGATGGAAATAAGAAAAGAATCGCTACAAGCTCAAATGGTGCTTATCCAAAAAGAGGGAAAAGATGCTACACAGTGTTCGAACTATAGACCTATCTCATTATTAAACACTGACACTAAGCTATACGCAAAGGTCTTGGCAAATAGATTGAAAGAGCTAATGCCGGAATGGATACATCAGGACCAGGTGGGCTTCGTTCCCGGGAGGGAGGGTAGAGATAATGGGCTACGATCATTGATGCTGATCCAAAAAAGTAAAAAGGGAAAAGAACCGGTGATTCTACTCTTTATAGACGCTGAAAAAGCGTTTGATAGAGTGAATTGGAGATTCATGATAGATACGTTGGAAGTCATGGGAATTGGGCCCAAGATGAGAGAGTGGATAGGAAAGTTGTATAGATACCCCTCTGCAGTTGTTGTGGTGAACGGGGAGAGGTCAGAACCCATTGAGATGTCAAACGGTACAAGACAGGGATGTCCACTGTCCCCATTGTTGTATGTTGTATTACTAGAACCACTTCTGTCAACAATACGGGTAAATAGAGATATAAAGGGAATTCAGATAGGGGACACGGAACATAAAGTCGCCGCTTTTGCTGACGACTTGTTGTTCTATGTGAGAAACCCCAGGATGACACTGCCAAACCTAATGAAGCTATTGAAGGAGTATGGAGAATTGTCAAATTTAAAGATAAATCCAACAAAAACGGAGATTCTAAATATAAATATTTCAAAAAATGAAAAAGAAAAAAATACAAAAGGAATTTCCCTTTAAATGGAAAGATAGAGATATAAAATACTTAGGAGTAAATCTCACAGCTTCATATAAACACCTTTACAAATTAAACTATATTTCACTGATTAATGAGATTAGAGAGAGGAGCTAAAAATATTGCAAGAGGGAACCCCGACATTGATAGGTCGTATTAACCTAGTAAAAATGATAATAGTACCAAAAATCATGTATAGATATCAAATGATACCAATTAAACTCCCAGAGACCTTTTTTAAGTTAATTAAGAAACTGATAACAAAATACATATGGAGGAATAAAAAACCAAGATTGTCATATGAGTTGTTGAGTAGGAGGAAAAGAAAGAGGTGGTTTAGGGCTTCCAGATTTTAAAAGATACTATAAAGCTGTAATATTGGCTAGAACTATAGACTGGACACAGAACTATAAAAAAAAGTTGGGTGAGGATAGAGAATGAACTTAGTGGAATAGATTTGGGTAAAGTGATATGGATACCAACACAGTATAGGGGCCTAAATGATAATGTAAATACATACACTTTGAATGTTTTAAAAATTTGGGATAACTTACACAAAAGTTTGAAATGGTCTTTTAATTCAACACTAATTTCACTAAAAAAACACGGAGTTTTTCCCCCCTGGTAGAGAAGAAATAGGAGGTAGGTGGTTTAAAAAAGGAAGAGGTTCAATTAAGAGATATTTTGGTGGGGGATAAAATAGGATCATTTGGGGAATTGAAAAAAAAAGAGGGTGAGATTTTCACTAAATTAGACAAGTGGCGGTATTTTCAATTGAAGAGTTTTGTTGGAAGCTTGCCAAAACCTTTAAGGACAAGAGACAATTGGAACTTGTTTGAAAAGGTTTTGGGCACACGAGGTGACGGGAAACACGGGATTGCTAAGGTATATAAAATACTCACAGAATTAGATATAAATACAAAGCCAACATATATAATAAAATGGGAAACTGACATGGGAAGTGTGATAGATGAGGAGAAGCAGAGGAGAATATATAGATTAACCCACGAAAACATTTCTATGAGAGAAGTAGAGATGAACTATAAGTGTTTGACAAGATGGCACATTACACCAATTGTTGAAAATAGGATGTGTAAAGAGAGTTCACCGTGGTGTGGAGGGGATGTGGTGAAATGGGTACAACATATCACATATGGTGGGGTTGCCCAAAAATTCAGTTATTCTGGAAGACAATAACCCACTTGATAAGAAAAATAACAGAAATAGACATTGGATTAGACCCAGAAGTGTGTATTTTTTACATAACATGGACATATCAGTCAATAAATATAAAAAATCAGGGATATGGTGCTACATTAATGCTGCAAAAGCTCTGATACCCAGGTTTTGGAAGCAAATAGAAGTACCGAGGGTAGAAGACTGGGTAGAAGAAGTTGAGCAGATTAAAAAGATGGAAAGGTTGTGCCATGTCCAGGAAGATAGGATGGAGATTTATAATAGGAAATGGGAGAATTGGGAAAAAGCTAAGTTATATACGAAATATAGGAAAGATTAAAGAAAATAATAGGAAAACTGCACTTGCTGAGATAAAATGATGCAGAGAAAAGGAAAAGTAGGAAGATGGGATTTGGGTGAGGGTGGTGGAGGGGGGGGGGAGAAATTTGGAATAAAGTAAATAAAGTAGAAATGTTGGATACTATGGTGTATAGATATATTTATATGTTTGTATATCATGATGTTGAAAAGTATTTAAAATGAAAATCAATAAATATTTAAATTATAAAAAAAAAAAAAAAATAAAGTCATTACATAAAACTTGAGAATGTAAAACAACTCATCCTCTCTGCTCATTATATAGATATGTAAGTGTGAGCCAGCTGTTATCTGCTGGTGGGCTGAACATACCAGTAAATGCTGATTTGTACCATCACTGCAGAGTCTAAGCAGCCTCAGCAACTACCATCTACAGAATGTCGGGTCTAGAGATATACA